AAAAAAGGATATGTATAAAAATGATGAAACTCATTAAAGAAAATCTTGAAAATTAAAAATAAATAAATAAATGAAAATAAAAAATAAAGAAACTGATTCATTCAAAATTCATTTCTTTCCTTTTCTCTTATCCCTGGCCTATTAGTCAGTTTAACTACACTATACCTTGGAATTCGTCATTTTGAGTCAATTTTTCAGGTATGAATTATGCCCTTTAAAAATGTAGTATTAACATTTTTTTTTCAGGAAGTTTTTCTAGAATTGTAACTTTTAATATTTCTTCTATTTCCTTACTTTACTTTTCTTTAGGGACTCCAATAATATGTATCTTCTATTTTCTTTGCTTGTCTTTTATATTTATCACACTCTCTCTCTAATTCTTTAAATCTCATGTTTTATTTCTTTTTTAATTTGAACATTTTCCTTCCTTTTACCTTCTTTTTCTCCTAAGGCATTATCTGTTATGTTCACACACTTTTAACTTTCTTCTTTTTACTGGTCATTTCTGAAATGGTTGTTTCCTTTATTTCTTATTTTCTTCTGAGTTCTTACATTCCCATTAATTGTTCTTTCATATCTTGTGTCATTTTCTTAATGTTTTTAGCTCAGTTTGAGATATTAGTTTATAGTGTTCATCCATGTTTTTATGTCATGCTTTTATTTTCTTGTTTCTGCTCCTGATTATGTTTTTATCTTATGGTAACTTTGTATGGGGTTGGGACTCAATTCTTTTTTGTTGCTTATTGTATACGTGATTAGTTTTCCAGAACTTTAAAGGCAATGCATGGTTTTGGATAGCTTTTCTAATTTCATCACTCTAGAACTCTCTCTCTCCTATTATTTTTGGAAAGTAAGTGTCCAACAGTCTGGTGACTTATAGTCAGAGATTCCTTGCTCCACTCTTCTCCACTTTTATATGGACCTTTTTCTTTCCTTTTTATCTCTTATTCCTGGCCTGTATTAGATTCTGTTCACAGCAGTCCTCCCCTGTGGGGTCTTGTTCCAGAAGGAAACTTTGGCTGGCTAGTTTTGAGAGTCATAGGACCCAGACTGCTCCTGGTCCTGCAGACTTCAACCTAGAACCCTTTGTATTCACACACCATTGGAGTGTGCAAAACCCTGAGCTGTCTAAACTTTTGGATAAGCAGACCTTGGTTATTTGAAGTTCTAAGATCTGTCAGGCACAGTTGTTTCTGTCTGCTTCCTCTTACCCAGATGCTGGTACCATATAGAGCATATGGCTCTTCGTGGTTTCTCTCTCTCTCTCTCTCTCTCTCTCTCACACACACACACACACACACACACACACACACACACACACACACTTGTATCTTAAGGTTTCTAAGGATACTCTGCCACCTAGTCGTGCTGATTTTGCCTGTGGATTTTTTTTGTTTTGCCATCCTAGTTGCTTTATGTTTCTTTATCATGGGGGGGGAGGGGTTGGAAAGATTCAAACTTTATGCTACTGCTACCGTTTTCTACCATGCTTTTTTGTTGTTGTTAAATGTGTACCTTTGTCAGAAACATTACCAGGTAAGACTCCACAATGGTGAATAAGGCACTCCAGGAGTCCACAGGTGGTAGAGCTGGCAAAAGCACTGCATGGAGGGTGAGGATACCTATATAAAGGATTCATTCTGGGGGGACACATCACTTCCCTGTCCATGATGGAAACAATACAAGGTAATCAATTTGTTCCAGGTTGTGTTTGGATCTCTCAGGTAATAGTGCCAGCTGGGAATACGTCATCAGCCTCTGTTATTGGCAGATTGGACATTCACAGCAGTGGAAGCCACACTGGCTTCGTGAGATGAAGCACATTGCTGCTGAGCCTGTGCATAACTTTCATCTCTGTCACATGGCTACATTAGGCTACATTATGTATGAATCTCTTGAACAGGTATCCAGGTGGCTAGGGAAACAGACTGAAATCATTTCATCCACCTGGTTATTAAGACTCGACTCTGCAACAAATACTCTTTAATGAACATTCATATAACATCAATTGTCTAGTCGCCCTTTCCAGTCCTTGGTTGTCTGGCCAAACCATTAACCACTACCCACAGCAGACAGCTCACCATCCAGGCAAAGTAAAACAAACATACTGTTTGAAGTTCTGCTCATTGAGAGGGGAGTATCTAGAAAGGTGAAAACTGGGCAGGGGGTATTCAGGAGAATGGTGTGAGCAAATCCCTGCAGGTAGGAAGCACACAGTGTGATGAAGAGAAAGATGCTCATTGATCCAGGTGTATGGAGAGAAGTATATGTGGTCCATGTTGTAGAAAATCTCTACTGTCATTCTATGATATTTCTATTTTATTATGTTAATAAAGAACAGCCATAGAAGGTGTATTATCAAAGCAGTAACAGAGTCAGAAGGATGCTTGCGGATTTGAGTGTAATCTGCCTTGTGTAACTCACAGTGTGATCTTGACAGAGTTGATTTGCCCTCTCTGCATAGATCTGAACCAGACCTGTGGTTTTTAGTCTGGGTCCCTGTGAAGCTTCTCTTGAGGAAAATGTTATAATTTTGAAAATCACTGACTAGAGGATCTCGAAATCCTTATTTATCTCCGAAAGCTCAAAAGTCCGTGATGTGCCCACCTCAACTATCTATTCACATTTCATCATGGGTATCCTCATGTCGGGGTTGGGCCCCTTTTCTTCCTCTCTCACATGGTCTGGACTCAGACCCACTCATACCAGACTGTGCCAAACCTTTCCTGGAAACATAAGGTTACTGCCCAAGTAGGCACAGCCAGCCTGCCAGAGCCAAACAGGAGTAATAATGCTGCTGATGAAGGTGACAATGGCAAAAACAGTAACATGTAACGTGTACTGAGAGATGTACCAAGCACTGGTTCTAAACACTTCAGGCATCATAACACACTTAATCCCACTAGCTCCATGAGACACACATTACTGTTATCCCTAGTGCACGTGTTCAGGAAATAATTTCTTTATAGCTAGGGTTTAAAGGAAGTAATCTATTTGGAGGACTGTCTGGCAATTTACCCTGAAGCTGGCTTTGTCTAGTGAACACTCTGATTTTACTTACATGGCATGTGAAATAATCATTTTTAAAATAGCATGAATTTGGGGAAATGTCAATAATTTGGACCAAGAATTCTTTTCTGTAGTGTCCTAGGGAAGGGTTTAGACAGATGGTGATGGCTGAAGGAGTGGATAAAGGTTAAATCACCCCCTGAACAAGGACGTGACAGACTGAGAAGTCTTCGAGTCCTAGTACTAGAAGAGTAGGGACACTTTGCCAAAGGACTGTACGGCAGACCCAGAAATCTGAACAGCTTCTGTTTCATGTTTCCAGTTACAAGAAACCCATTACCTCCCTTTTCATTTACTTCCTGCCCATGTCCTTCCCTGAAGGGGGCAGCAGATCAGGAATGGCCATGCCGTTCCCTCCATGTCCTCAGTGGAGGACTGAGGTTGGCAGGAACCCCTGGGGAGTGAGTATTGGGTAGATTCCCTCCTGGAGCCCCTTCCCCTTACTGTGTGAGACAAAAAGAGACCAAGAGTCTCTCCGGGCTGTTCTGCTCCCTGGGAAATTAGGAGGATAATCCCCACACTCCTTCACACTGACAGCCTGAGAGCAAAGGCAGACACGGAGACTGAGGTCAAGCAAGGTCATTATACACTTTGAACAACACACAATATTTTCTTTAAAAACGTGAGACTCTTACATTTATTTCTGTTATTATAAGAGCTACAGAAACATTATAAAAACAAGCAAAATATGAGGACCTAAAAAAATTATAACAAAAAATAACATACTTATTTTTCCTTTTATTTATCCCTCTTCTTTTCCTCTTACACTCCTCCCCTTTTTTCCAGGCCAAGACCCAGAGAAAACAAAGAGCACTGTATGTGCCTCCAGTTAGCAGGATGAAGAGCCCAGGCAGGGTAGCTGCGGAGCACCAGGGCTCTGGGTCTTCACGCAGGCCAGTGCCCAGCGGGGCCAGGCCAAGCAAGGGCAGGCCACAGGGACTGGGCTTGTGTGGACACAGCCTGGCCTGGTCCTGGAGGAGCACATGGCTCCTGTCCCAGGGTGCTCTGGGGAGACAGGGACAAAAACAATAACAGCTGACAGGTATGGAGAGGATACAAAGTATCAAGCACTAAACACTTTAACATAATAACACACTTAATCCCACAAACCTCATGAGATTCATGTTACTGTTGTACCTGATGCAAATGTTCAGGAAATAATTTCTTTACAGCAAGTATTTAGAGGAGACAATCTGTTTGGAGGGCTCTCTGAAAAGTTACCCTCAGACCGCAAGGGAGCAGGAGCAGAGAGAGCACTGGCGGGATGGGGGTGCTGTCAGGGAGGGCCCCCCAAAGAGGGGATGATGGAGCAAACTGGCAAAGTGAGCAGGGACTTGGATCCACTCATTCCTTTATTCATCCATTTCTTCCAAAAACATCTACAGCACCTTTTAAATTCCAGACACTGCTGAGGAATCGAGGACACAGAGAGAATAAAACGCAGTTCCTGCCTTGGAGAAACTCACAGTCCATTAGAGAGAACAGACATGGGTATAACAATGACAGCCCTTACAGAAGGGCTGTGTCAGATCTGCACAGTCTTGTGAGCAGGGGGGTGCCCATGGGGTGGGGGGTGGCCACCAGCTAGACACAAGGGGAGGCACACCAGCCAGAGGGGTGCACACAAGGGAGAGAGAAGGACAGCAGGGACCAGCCCGTCATCTCACCTGGCTGAGGAGCTGGGTGCCCAGGGAGGGGAAGGGGAGGGGAGAGGAAGGCTGGACTCAGACACAGAGGGATGTGAATGCCCAGCTACAGGGCTTGGGGGACGCTGGAGGATAATAGCCAGGGAGGAAGACGTGATCATACTAACCTGAGAAAGCAGGGACAGGATGGCTGGCAGGGAGGGGACACAGGTGCTGAGCTGGGGTGGATGGTGAGGACAGGAGAGACCAGCAGGGGAGGAGGAGCAGAAGGAGCTGGGGCTTCCCTCAGGGTTTGAAATGAGGCCAGGTGCGGATGATGTTGTACAAAGCCTGCCCAGGGGACAGAATGTTGGCCACATCACTGTGGCCCACCAGCAGGTAGTTGGGAGTCAGGTAGCCCTCGACCACAGCACACTGGATCAGGTCCTGGGCTGCCTCCAGTGCTGCGGCATTGGGTGGGGTACCTGCAAAACACAGTTCACCCATAGGTCACGGGATTCCAGGGCGACCTTCTCAGGACAGGAAACACCACTAGACCCTACCTCACCCCACCCCCATCAGCTAGTTAGTGTATTCCACTGTTGACAGCCATCCTATAGACAGACAGAAAACCAGGTCAAGACTTCAGATTCCTCAGTGCCAAAGTTCTCCTGAATCAAAAGGACTGAGCCTGTGATAATACATACAGTCCTGCTAGGGATGTGCAAACGCTTTATTCACCACAAATGTTTAACCTGGTAGTTCTCTACTGGGGGAAATTTAGCCCCCTGGCAGCCATTTGGCAATGTCGGGGGCATTTTCGTTTGTCAAAACTAATAGGGGGGAGGAAGGATGCTGTTGTCACCTATTTGGTGGAAGCCAGGGATACTGCTAAACATCCTACATTGCACAGGACAGCCCCCCACAGCAAAGAATTATCTGATCCAAAATGTCCATGGTGCTGAGGCTGAGAAAATTTGCTTTAGCCACAGATCTGCTGCCTATACCCTTTGCATGCCCAGCCTAGTGCTCACCCGCATCTCCAGGCACAGTCCTGGGTCACCCCCAACCCCCACCCAATGCCCACATTAGTATCAGCCTGAACCAGCACCAGATATGACCTTCTCTTTCCAGAGGCTCAGCAAAAGGCTCCTGTGTCTAAACAAACTGATCAGGAGCTCTGAGCCATGACGATTCACAGTGTGCTCTCTCAATGTGGACACTGGGGCTCATCTGTGGCTTTGGCATACAAACCAGAGTGTCCCCACACTGTTGCCATGGTAACCAAGAAAGATGCATCTGCCACCGAAGATGAGCTAAAAATATGCACAAAGATCTTTTCCCCTTGCTTTACTCATTCCTCGAATATTGAAAGAGAGGCATTTGGCTATGTATGAAGGAGATAGATTTAGAATGAGCATTCTGTCTCGGGGTCATCTCTGGTCACACTCAGTTTAGTCCAGTGTCAAATTTGAAGCTTGGCCAATCCAGCATATGTGGGCACTTCAATGATGCCTGAGTCTGATGCCTTTGTTTTCCATGCAATGGAAGACACCCTCCTTCAAATACCATGCGATGACTGCCCAAAGAACCCTCTTACCTGTGAAGGTGCCCATGAAGGCGATGCCCAGGGCAATATCGTTGTAGTCAAAGGTATGGGAGCCTTGGAAATTCCAGCCCACCCCTTCGTAAATGACACCATCCTGGCCCACAAGGAAGCTAGAGACCACAAGGAGAGATGGAGATCAGCACTCTGGGTTTGTTTCTCTCTTTCATTCATTAATTCATTTACATCTTTACCCATCAGACATTGATTATCTATTCAATTTTAAGCACTGAGTTACAGAGACAAATAAAACAGAATCCTTGCCAGCGGTGTGCTGGTAAACCAGCTTGGGGAAATGGGGAAGACAGAGTAGGGAGAAGGAATCCTGATTTACAGCATTTGCAGGTTTCTGTGATATAAAACTCCAACTATGGCTAATTCAGGTCACCAAGTTAACAACCGGCTCTCAAAATTCCTGAATCTCTAACAATCAGTTCTCATGAGCCAGCACATGCCCATCTGGCTCCAGCACACCTCTGCTGCCCACAGTCACAGTCAATGAAGAAAGTACAGGATGACAGCTTTCATTCCCTGGGCCTTTCCCCCACGGTGACCCAGGAGCTCCTGCTCACTAAGTACAATGTACACATCTCCATCCTTACCTGACTTGATCTCTCTGCACATTTGACCCTGTCAACTTCTCTTTCCTTCTCCAAACCTTCTCTTCCCTTGGCTTCCATCACACCACACTCTCCTGGCTTTCTTCATCTCTGGCTACCCACCCTCCCGCACCTCATCTTCGGTGCTCTTTCCTTAAATGTGGGGTCCCTCAGGACGCTACCCCAAGCCCTCTTCTCTCCTCATCCAACACATTCTTTAAAAACTAACCATCCACTTTTGCTTCAGTTGCCATCCATGAAAGTCCACTTGTTCCCAACTGGATCCACCTCCTCCCTGACCCGTTCCCCTTTCTGGGATCCTATCCTGGTGAAAGGCACCAGCCCCTCCACTCACTGGCCCCAGTCGGTAGTAGGAGCATCAGCCCACCCCCTTCACCCACTCACGAACCACTCTCCCTCCTGTACCCCCACATCTCAGTCATTAACCACTAACCTCCACTGACCTCTTAAGTTCCTCCAGGTCTCTCCAGACAGCTGCCACCACCCTGGCCATATCACATGTCGGCTTGCCTGGATTGCTACACAGCCCCCAGACCTCACTGCCTCCGGTTTTACCCTTTTTTAATCCATTCCCGAAGCAACAGCCAGGGTGGTCTTTCTGCAATACAAATCTTACCATGTCAAAACCCTTGGCACCAAGTCCAAACTCCCCTACTTAAGATCCTTCATGATCTACCCCTGTTTGCCTCCATGGCATCACCTCTCACCATTCTCCTCTCTGGCATCTGTGTTTATCATGATAAACGTCTCTCACCTCCTCAGAGTCACACTTCTCAGGCTGAAATCTCCACCTTTCCACAGAGGTCCTTTCCCTCCGTCTGAAACACTGACTCGCTCCCACTCACCCTTTAGGTCCCAGGTCACACGGTGCTCGCTCAGGGAGTGCTTCCCTCACACCCACCACCAGCAACCTAAGCCCCCTGTTTAGCCTCCCTGTGTTCTCTGTCACGATGCTTAAGGTACCTTATTAGAACTTATTTTCCTTCCTGTCTGTAGTATTAGCTCCATGAAAGCAAGAACCACACCTGCGCTACATCTTTTGGCATTCCCAGAGCACAGCCTAGTGCCCACACGCATATACACTCAATCCCCTTTTCAGTGAATTACAATTATGAGCAAGCGAGTGTTTGATCCTGACTACAGACCACCTCACGCTAAGAAGTGGCACAGTCATGAGTTATGACAGAACGGACACGATAAAAGGTCGTAACTGCACCTTGAAACCTGAGTGGGAAAAGAGTAAGGACCTCCCCCTACTTTCTTCCATTTTCCAGTTTAGGATTTCCCATTTATAGTTAATTTTCAGGGATTGGCTCTAATTAGAGAGCAACACCATGAATGGTCCTGCATGGCAGGATCTAGCAACGCACTTGGTAGGTCCTGATAGATGACAGATGCTGGAGGAAAAGTTTTCTCCTATCTTGAAAGGATTGCTACTAAAAATGGGGACAGAGAGAGGTGGGACGGTCTGCCCAGAGGCATACACCAAGTGATGGTAAGTCCATCTAAGGCAGGGCCACTGCATATGGCTGTGCAGGTTGCATCCTGCACTGAGGTGCATGGTTTGGGGACAATAGGAACTAGAATCCATCTCCACTCGCTAAGCCATGAATGCCCCTAAAGTTAGGGGCTCTTTCTATCAATGTGTACCAATACACCATATGGGTTAGTGGTGGCCTGTCCTGAGACTTAAAATTTAGTGTGGTGTTTCTGACGGGACACAAGATGGGCTGTAACCCCAGATGTCTTATCTGTGAGCTCTGAAAGCACCCTTCAAGAAATTTAAACTTGTTTTGTGGAAATTTAAATTTGTTTTTATGTGTGTATGGCAGTTTTAAGTTACTAGTTTTTAAAATCAGTACTTTTCAAAGAAAAGAACTTGATCAAAAATCTTTCACAGAAATTTGGGACTCATTAATACAATGCTTAATGAGAAAAAAAAAAGAAAAGAAATGTTTACTCTCCCCATTAGGTCGATATGTTCTTCATTAAAGAATCATGGACCTTGGCATTTGAGAAATCAAGAGATATTATCTTGTCTTTTCCCTGCCTTCAGACAGGAAAGATAGTCTCCCCAGGGAGGCTGACCGTTTCTAGATGCAGAGAAACGGTGTGGATCTGATGCCGGCAGAACAAGTTTCAGGCTGTAGCCAAACCAAGGGGCAGAGCCAGAGCCACTGAGTAGTGGGGGGCGATGGCATGAAAAAGGCACTTAGATCATCTCTTCTACAGGTTTCACAATCTCTCGTGCATTCTGCTTCCTCTAGTGTCTTTTCAGCAGCATCTTGGCATCCATCACGTCAATATACCACCTTTAAAAGGACGCGTGTCTGGAGAACATGCTTAGGGGAATGACTACCCCCTTAGCTACTTCCTACATACGACCCACCCGTGGCCACTGACGTGTGTGAGAAGTCAGTGTGATGATCCATAAAGTGCCTCCCAAACGGCGAGAGCTCAGCAAATAGCAGTGCCCTTTCCCCTTCCTTTCAAGGTTTCCATGTCTGCCCCCAAGGGAAAAGAAGCCCCCTGTCTTCAGACCCACTTACTTATACCCGATGTCGCATGACTTGACTCTGTCCATGAAGAGGGACTGGATGTCCTGGACCAGCAGGCGGCACTCATCAGACATGTTGCAGGTCCTCCCAGCAGTGTGGATGATGATGGTGTACTTAGCAGGGAGGTTCAGCTTTGGACAGTGGGTCTCCCCAGCCCCCCAAGCAGACCGGGGGACAATGCTGGGGCAAGCTGTGGTGGGGGAAGAAAAGAAAACGCGGAGGATTCATTTCGCCAGCCCATGTCAGCCACCTCACTACTGAAGGCCAACGCAATCCTCAGGATCCTCAGCATCCCAGCTGCTCCCAGACATTCTGCTCTCACCAAGACTGGGGGACTGAGCAGCAGGCTGCGTCCCAGCAGTGCGACATGGATGTTTTACTCTGAAAACATGTCTTTGAGAGTCATTTATAATCCATCAAACTCATCTGTCATTTATTGACAGATGGTAGCAGTCCAAAAGCAGAAATCAAATTTATCTGAGGCCTTAAAACAATATGATTGTTTTCTATTAAACTTTATTAAGCCCCCAAAAAAGGCTGAAAGTGTTCATTAACTTTACTGTTTTTGATGTTGCTGCTTGGTAAGCCCAAAATAGTGTCCACCTTCTATTACCTGAATCATGTTAAACTCTTCCTTTAAAGTCAGTGTAAGTGGTGACTTGTTTTCCTCAGCCCTGCAGTCTGTTAGTGCTGTTCTAGTTTTGGTATTCACAAATGTGCATTTGTGCGTGTGTGTTTGTATATAAGCATAGGAATATATAAATATGTGTGTAACATAGTCTATTCCTTTCTATGCTTTTTTCCCCTCTATAGCACTTTCACCATACGATGTACCAAATATTTTACTTGCTTATTCGTTTATTGTCTTTCTCTGCCCTCTAGACTGAAACTCCATGAGGACAGGGATTGCTGTGTTTTGTTCCTTTGGTTCTCAGGCTCTAGCGCGCGCTCAGCAAGCAGCTGTAGAGTGAGCTAAGAAATGAGTACGCGTGTGTGACACAGGCATAATGCCGTCGCCCTGTCATGCCAGGGGTCTGAAGGATAAAGAGGTGGTCTGGAGGGTCCTTCTCAAGGTTTGCCACCCTCTCAAGATTTCCTTCTTGTAGGCACCTGGTCACCCAACTCTCCGAACCTTGGAGAGTCCAGGATCCAATGAGAGCCCGACTGAAAGGTCACCCCAGTAGTGTTTGAGAGTTAGTGTGGGGAGTCTGGAGGGAAGCCCAGTAGGGCTAAAGGTCTTACCTTTCTTCAGACTCGCCTTCTGCCGAGGGGCCAGGCAGTTTTCCCCCTTCACAAGAAGTGGCTGAATGTACCTGGATGACAGGTAGCCCTTCTGGACAGCATAGGATATTAGTCCCTCCATGGTTGACAGGGCAGCAGGGCTGGGACTGTGGCCTAGAAGAGAGTGATCTGTAGGAAATCCCGATTTGGCCTGAGTTTGAGGGGAACCAAGCAGGGAAGCAGAGGAGGAGTTCCAGCCCCTGCACAGCTGTTGGAGTGAAAGAAAGGGGAACAGGCTCCTGCCCCAGGACGGAGAGCCTGAAAGTCAAGGATCTGCCTGGACAGAGCTCTCAGTGGCTCAGGATGAAGCCCTTTCTCAATGACCGGCCAGGACTTCATTCCTCCACTCCCTCCTACCCTGAAGGAGCTCAAAGGCATCACCACACTCAAGAGCACCCACCTGACCCGGTCAGGGCTTCCCTCAACAGGGTCCCTTCCAGGCATGTGCCAGTCTCTTTACCTGCATTAACCCATTTAATCCTTACCACAAATCTCTGGGTAGATGTTATAACTAACCCCATTATTTGTGAAGAGGAACTTGAGGCTCCAAGAAGTAAGATGCTCAGGATCCCAAGCTAACAAGTGGCAATGAATAGTCATTATAAAAAAAAAAAAGGTCTGAATACCGAGTCCTCCAGCCTGCTGGAAACCACCCTGGAGTTGGAAATTGAAGATATGGGCTTGTATTATGACTCCTCTCCTTATAGTTGTGTCACTTTGAGTCATTTACCTGTCTGAAACTCAGGCTGCACCTTCGTATGACAGGGATCATGAATCTACCTGGACTATCTCAAAGGATATTTGGAAGGGAAAAGTGAGAAACTAGATATGCAAGATCTTTGTTAACAGTAAAGGGTGCACAAATTCAAAGGAATGATCCTGAAGCATGTGTTAGGATGCAGGTAGTGGGGGGCCAGGAGCAACAGACTAGAGGAAAGTGGAAGGGAGCCAGAGATTAGAGGCCTCTAGGTGTTTTTGTTGTTGCTGTTGTTTTGTTTTAATGTATAGAAAATCTAGGATTAGGTGTCGGTGATGGGCCATAATAATCATATACATTGTATATTGACAAAATAAAAATTTAACGAAGAAAAAAAAAAAAAAAGAAAATCTAGGATTAAGAGAAGGAAGGAGGAGGTGCCTAGCAGGAAATCGGGAAGCACAGACTGCAGCTACAGAAATGTCAGAGCTGGAGAGGAAGACATGATGGTCATTGACACAAAGGTGACAGCAGAAGCCCGGGTCTGTTCGAGGGAAGAGCAGGAAAACAAGCTTGCGGAGAGAGGACGAGTGGTCCGCATCCCCACCCATGAGCCGGCTGAAGGAAGAGAAGCCCGCCACAGGGGCTGAGAAGGGAGCCCGAGCAGTAGGAGCAGCACCATCCCGATGCCATGTTGTGGAAGTCAAGGGAGAGGAGAATTCAGAGAGAGAGTGGATCTTCGGAGAGTATGAGAAGGGTGGGAAGACAGCAGAGTGTTGAGACGGAGGAGTCGAGAACTCCTTAGGGGAAGGGTCGAATGCGATGACCACTACCTTCCTTAGTGCCAAAGAAGGCAAAGCCCAGGGACACGTTGTTGTAGCCCTGGGTGTGCACCCCTTGGACGTTCCAGCCAACACCTTCATACACCCTGCCGTCATCCCCAACCAGGAAGCTGTGGAGCAAGAAAATATGGGTTAATGGCTGGCACTATGAGTGGTGATGGTCAGCTTTATACCCCATAAATATACATAACCAATAAAATATAAAAAATAAATAAAATTTGGGGGAAAAAATGGCTGGCACTGTAGCACATCCCTGAGAGAGGAAACCACTTACCCAGCCTCCAAAGCGAGGGCCCGAGCCATGGTCACTAAAAGAAATTTGCATGGACTCCTTCCCAGACAGTGGAAAGACCAAGTCATTATGCTAGTCCTTAGAATTCAATAGGATCCACTCCTATGCTTTCTTCCTCCCTCCCTTGTTTAGATGCCAGAGTTTTATATAAATCATCCTACATACTCGGAAGGAGAAGGGGTCCTGGGACCTCCATAGTAACTAACACTGGCCCAACCGCACAGTGTACAATTCTTCTCCACACTTCCTTTGACATGGCTTTCCTCCCTCCTGCAAAATGCATGCTGCCTGTGCAATCCCCACAGGCTGTTCCTTGCTTTCTCCCTGCCGGGTAACTGTCTTACAGAAACTTCTCATGCAGCAGGGCCTGAGACAGAGACCTGGATGCAGGCAGTTAATTAGGGAAGGGATCCCAGAAGCCACAGTGAGGAAGCAAGGAGGGTGAGACAGAAGAAAGAAACCCAACAAAGTGTGTGGAATTGGGCTGGCTTCACAGTGGCCACCTGGGGACCTCGCCCCCCACCCTGCAGCCTCTCAAGGAACTGTGTCCATGCACTTTAGAGCTGTCCCTCAGAAGGGCTGGGCCTGATGAAATTACCCACCAGCTAACTCCCGTCGCCCAGAGGGACATTAACTCCCTTCACCATTAGGGACTCAGGGAAGGCTTGAGTGGAAAGCAGAGAGATATGGTGGGCACTTGAGGCAGAAGCCATCCCCATGCTCAGGAGCCAAAGTCAGAGGTGGGCCAGGACACGCAGTCCGGACACCAGAGGGCCTACTAGAGTGACAACAGATGGACGATCGCCTCACTGAGGCAGGAGCCCATGGTGTGGTGTGCAGGAGCAGGCCAGGGGCAAAGGGGCAGTTTTGAGTCAGTTTAGGCTCCACACCTCCACAGCTGTGTGACTCTGAGGAGATCAGACAACCTCCCCACCCGGATCCCCTCCACGTAGCATGGAGATGGTGACACCTGCCCTACCAGCCTCGCAGAACAGGGTGGAACAAACCACTGATGCATGAGGAGGGCTTGTGTGGCCTGTGATGTGCGGTGTGACCCAGCTTGCAGGAGGTGAAAAGTAGAGTTGGTACCTAACCTTCCTTGCTACCTTTTAGAAGATCTCAGGGGCAGGGACCTCCCAGAAAATTCCAAAGGATTTGGAGTTTCATGGAGGTTTTAAATATTTTATTCATGAAACCTATATAACCACAACCCAGAAAACGCAGAGAGCAGATGACAAGGGACAGGAGAAGCACACTAGTGGGGCAGCTCTTACTTGTAGGCCACGTCGCAGCTGCTGTTGTTGTGGGTGTGGTAGACCTGCAGCTCCCGCAGCCTCTGGCTGCAGATTGTCTGGTTGTGACACTCCAGTCCAGGGACATGGTGTATGACAAGGATGTCCACCGGCATGGTCAGCCGAGTGCTGCAGCCAACAGCTCCTGCTCCCCACTCCTGGCGAGAGACCATGGTGAAGACATCTGTGGGGACATCACAGGACCGTTGCTCAGTGCACCTGCTTCACCATTGTCATGTTAGCCTCTGGACTGTATGTGCAGGTCTGGGCTGTGTCTGTCCCATGGCAGTGAAAGCACCCCAGGAGGAGCACTTCAGCAGGCAGGCCTACCCTCCCCTGCTCACCTCCATGGCCCCATCGCACTGACACTCACTCCCAACGCAGAGTCTGCACCTGCCCAGAGAGCTTAGATGCCGTGCTCCCCCAGCCCAGGATTCCCCACCACAGACAGACCCCATCTTCCAGCTCCTTCCCTGCTCTGCCCCAGGACCCCTTTCCATCTCATCCACTTATTCCCGGGGAAAGCCCTGAGTAGCCTCACTCAGTTCCCCTTCAGCCTTCCTGTCCTCAGTGTGTGCTCATGGCACTTTCTTCTGTGACCCTGAGTGCTCCCTGAGGGGGCTACATCTCCCCCAAGGCTGCAGGCACCCTCGGAGCAGGGGCTATATCTCCCCCTCAGTCTGAGGACTCCCTGAGGGCAGGGTCTGGGTCTCCATCCTCAGGCTAGGGGCTTCCTGACTGCAGAAGTTGTCCCTATCCTTCCTGGGTTTCTGTCCCCTCCTGGTACCATCACCCCTATACCCTGAGGACCTAGGGTAAACTGCGCAGGTGGTTTGCTGGTGCTCCTCTCTGTGACACAACCCCATTTGCCCCCAGTCACATGTCGCTGTGCAGACCTAAGAAACATTCTTCTCACATGAGATACCCCAGCCAGCCCCCAAGCCTCCTCACCATCAAGACCCAGTTTTCCTTTTTCAATGAGCTGGGAGATGTTGGCCAGGAGCTGCTGAAGCTCCTCTGATATCTGTTTAGCTTGTGTTTTGTTCCAGGAGGAATCACCTGCAAAGGAACATTCCATTTTGCATGGGTCCCCGCAATACCAGCCATCACAGTGTCACAGGCTCTGGCCAGGAACAGCTGCCCCCTCTCCACTGCACCGCTGCCTCCCCAGACTCCTGAGCCCCCTCCAAGAAACCTCTCTGCGCTGACCAGAGGACCACCTCTGATAACAGTAGGTGGCATGGCCTCCCCAACACCAACTCCAGGTAATCCCCCAGGATGAAAGTTAAATCGTTAAGAGCAAGAAGTTGGAAATATTATCCTCTACTCATGAGCTGCATCTACACACACAATTGCTGAAAAATGACCTAGAAATGTATTCAGGCACTTCAAAACCACGAAGTCCCCTTCTGTGTGAATTGTACCCAATGGAGCAATGGGGAAGTGTATGCGGAGAAGGGGTTCGAATCATCTGCACAAATTAGGCAGCTCCTATGGGGAGGATTTTGGGTATTTGCTGTTCCCTGCTCCTGTGTGGAGGACCGTGGGGGGTGGGCAAGGTGTGTCGATTGACATCCTCACCCCAAGGAACCTTCTCTCATTGACAAGCATAAACCCAAGACAAAGGTTAGACTTTGATTGACGTAATAATAATAATACAAACGTAATCGCTGCTCCCGTTTATGCGCTTTTGCTGCCCAAGTGTTCTGTCCTTGGTGTGTGTTCTCATTTAATCCTCACAATTAGTTTAGGAGGTTATAACCTTATCTCAATTTTTGGATGAGAAAAGTAAGGTTTGAAGAGCTGAATAAATGTGTTTAAAATCATTACTAGAGGCAAGACCAGGCCTTGAATCGAGATCTGTAGACTCTAAGTCCTATGCTATAAGCACAAAGCTATTCTCTCTCCCTGAGGGAGAGCAGGCATCTGAGAATCCCTCCCGTGAGACTTCAGGATGACCTTCTCAGTTGCTCATTGTACAGGAAAATAAAACTTACCCCAGGCCTGGAGACCCAAAGAGAAGACAAGAAGCCATGGCAACATCCTCATGTGGTCTCAGGACACCACACAGACAGGACGAGAGTGGACGGCGGCCCTGGAGAGACACTGATACACCGACAGTTAACGACCATGCTCACTCTGCACCTGCCCCCACCTGGGTGCATGGAGCCCTGTCTGCCTTTGACACACCGTGGGCCTCCTGAGGGTCAGCACCTGGCTCAGGCTTCTCAGGCACATAGCAGGTGCTCAACACCCTTGTCCTATTAATCCACTGTGTGCAAGGCCCATGAAGACACTTGCACATGTGGTCTTATTCAAACCTCACACTAATCCTGTAATTTAGGATTCTTAATCTCCATTTTTATGGACAAGGAAGTAAAATCTAAGAACGGAATAACCAAGTAATCCAAACTCACGTGGGTAGGTCTAAAGCAGAGAGTTTCTTCCCAGTTAGACATAGGGCCAGGTGAGGGGGATGAAGGAGTGTGTGTGTGTGCGGGGGAGGGCGGGGAATGTCCCAGTTCTAAGGCAGAGGAAACCTGACCTTAACACTTCACTTGGTGGAGTCCAGTCCCTTCGATGGCAGGGGGCTTCTGAAGAAGCAGCGCACTCACATGCACACTCGGAAGTACCTGTGGGTCCCGTACTGCCCAGCCCAGCAGGTCAGGGTGCAGCTGGCTCGCCGCTCACTGGCTGGCAGTTCCTTCCCTTCAGACCTGGCCTCCGGCCCCTGCCCTCCTTCTGCAGCTGGTCCTCCGCCTCCACTGTCCCTTGCACTAGAGAGCACTCCCTCTGTGCATGGAGCACCCTGGTTCTGGCTTCCCAGAGAGGAAAGGAAAACCTGGGGTCCTCAACAAAAGATGGCAAGAAGGAGGAGGGCAGAGGTCTGAGGCTCTGTCTGAGCAGGCTCCGTGCACAGCATCGAGAGAGACTCGGGTGGGACCAGACTCAGGCTGAGAGCACCTGGGGACCCGCCCTGTGAATAAGCCCAGGCACCTCCTCCCTGGGAAAGAGCACGATTGCCCAACATGCCCTGAGCTCCTTCCTCATCCCCAGCCTTCCACGAGCCCAACCAAGCCGGGGATGCCTGTGGGGCCCAGGGTTGTACCCCTGACATCTGGGAACTTCCTGCTCGTGAAGACAGATCTGCTCCAGGAGTCTGAAGGCTGTGGAATGAGGTCACTCACCGACACCCACCCACCCCTTCCACCAGCGTCACCAGCAGGGACAGGACAGACGGAGGGAAACTGAAAGGGACATTCCCAGGAGGCAGCTCACTGTGCCTAATCCTGACCCTGTAGCCTACACGTCCATCGCCTTCCCTCCTGCCACATCCCACCCTCAGCCTCAAACTGTCACCCACACAGGAAGCCTCCTACCAACCAAGAAACTCCATGCCTTTGCCCACTCCTGGCTCAAGGCCATGTTACAGTCATCACCTAGGCACACTCCACAGTCTGCAGCTGTGGTCTCCTGGGGCCCTTCAGTCTTTGCAGAGGAAATGCCACATGACACTTTCCAAGAATGCAGTAGGGTGCTGGTCTCCCAGTGAGTGGGGCAGCCCCCCAAGACACTGAGGAAATGCCCCGAATCCAAAAGGGTTGCCCTTAGTGAGTTGCAGGCTTACTCTCAGGCCCGAGGTCCCTGAAAAGCTCCCTGGAAGGGGCCTCTGTAATATGCACTGGGTCTATCCACTGGTCTCCCCAGTCTTGCCCATGGGCCCAGGCTGGAGCCCTGTGACCAGGAGCATGGGCTGCTGAGCTCCGTCCTGAGGCAAGGGTGCATGTGCGGCAGAAGCGGAGGCAGAGATGAAGGAAACCAAGAACCAGAGACCAGGATCAGCTCCTAGGGACCCTGCAGTTCTCCTGATCTAGGGGACATGTTGTTTTTCCATGCCTCGGGCTGTCTGCCCTTCCTGACTAACACAGCTCATATAATGAGAAGGTCTGCGGGCTTGCCCTTGGGGCATCAGGTAAGGAGCGGAGAAGACTAGTTCCACTCTGCAGAGGGGTGTGGAAGTGAGAAACCAAGGAGAGACTGGGAGGTGGCTGCCTAAGAGGACCAACAAATCCTCTGCCCCATCCAGAGACCACAAGTTCTTGGGGACTAACAGGTTGAAGGCTTCCTTAGGCACACGTGTTCTCAACGAGGGCATCGGGAGGGAGGAAGAGAGCAGAGTGGGCTGTCCCTCTCTGGTTCTGTGAATTTAGGACTAAAACCCTGAGTCCTGAATGACCTGGCCCTTGTCGGCCCCCAGCCCCATCTCACCCCACTCTGCCAGTGGGCTCCCATTGCTCTCTGCCCCCCTCCCACCACTGCAGGACCCTTCCAAGTGCCCCCACCTCACTCTTCACCAGGGCCTGGAGGCTCCGCTGGAGCTCAGCTAATTCAGAGAGGCCTTGGTGACTGGGCAGGACTTGCCAAGCCTCAGCCCTTCCTCTCCTTCCAAGCACTCATCATAAATTGCAATCATAATCTCCACGAGGTCAGCTCCCAAGTCTGTCTCTTTACCAGTGGCTGGCAGAGCAGGGCAGGCTTTAAAAAGGAGTGGAAAGAGGGAAGGGAAGGAAACATAGGCAGGCACATGGGTGTGCTTCAAGTAATGTGTGCCTGAGGCAGTGGTTCTCAAATGGGAGCTGGGGGACCCCGAAACCCTTCAGGGGGTTCAAACTATTTCCAGAATACTATCCCTGAGCCAACACAGGAAGCCTCCCACAAGCCGAGAACCCCCGGTTCCTCACTTCCCTCGTGGTGCTGATATTGACACTCAAGACACAAGCAGCCGCCTGTGACTTAGAATAAACCCAGGCAGTGGCACCGGACTGCCCCAGCGGTCACTGCAGTCTTCACAGTGCACTGTTTCAAAACAAAGAGCTTCACTTAATGTTCCTGATAAAGCGGTGAGAATCATTCATTTTATTAAATTTCAGCCATGTTTCTCTCAAGGAAAAACACTCCCATGATTGAGTTGTGAACTGAACAAGCCACTTTTTTCATGCAACTCCATTTTTTGCTTGAAAGAACAAATAACAGCCAAACTATGGATACTCATACTTGGGTAGATGGCAGACACTTTCTTGAAAATGAATAAAGTGAGTCTCTCACTTCAAGGAAAACAACTAATGGAATTTGTTAGCATAATAAAATTGAACGTTCAAGCAAAAATTAGAATTTTGGAAAATTTGTGTCTGCCACCTTGAGTTTGACAGAGTCCCAATGTTTAAAGGCCTTATTGATGAGGTCAGCAGTGGTATTAACGAATGTGATTTATATACATACATACTATATACAAACACATAAATATGTATATATATAGGATAATGAAATGTGTCAGCATTTAGGAGATGTGCATAACTCAATGAACCAATATTTCCTTGAGTGACCAATATATGAAGTTACAAAATCATGCCCGGATAAAAAAATTCATCCAAATTTCAAGATAGACCAATTGATTCTAACGTAATAGAGTACAAAGAACTCATTGATAAGGTTTCAGATTCTACTTTGCGACTAACCTTTAAGAAACTACTACTTCTTGAATCTTGATGTAGGATCATAGAAGAATATCCACAATTATTTCTGAAGGCTGCTAATATATTTCTCCCTTTTGTAACTACTTAGCCATGGGAGGCTGGATTTTATTCATGTCTTCAACCAAAACAACATATAGCAACACACCGAATACAGAAGTAGATACAAGAATCCAGCTGTCTTCTTTGAAGCCCTACAGTGAAGAGGTCTGCAAAAACGTTTTTAAAAAAAGACACTCTTCTCACCATCTGTTTAAAATATATATAATTATTTTTAATTTTTTAAAATGTGCTAATATGTAATGGGCTTATTAATACTACTTTAAGTTAATTAATAAACATTTTAAATTTTTTAAAATTTTAATATGGTAAATATTGATAGGCATAACCCACAATAGCTCTTTTGGATACTCAATAATTTCTACAAGTATAAAATTGTCCTGAGAACTAAAAGGTTGAAAATCCGGGACCAAAGGAATGTCACAGGCTGTCCTAGCTCAGGTAAGCCACAAGGTGGCAGCATGCGCTCTTCGACCATTCTGGAGCCGCCTTTCACCCACTAGGAATCTCCCTCATCCCCCTAGTTCTCCATGACTCCTCCCCACTTCTTTTTTATCCTTCTCTGCATTCTCCTGTGTTGCACAACTTCTTAATTACAGGAAACAACAATCTTATAAGCGTAAATTCTATCAAAACCGAGTCTTTCAATTTTATTGTGCAGACATTTATCAGATGTCCCTTGTGTGCAAAGCTTACCATCCAGGGATGAGTAACTCGAGAACTCTGCTCTCAAGAGGTTAATAATCAAGTGAGGGAGACAGACCCAAAGGCCAGTAATTATAATGCCAGCATGGTGATGTTTGTGAAAACCTTCTATTTTCTACAAAGGGCTGTACTCTTCAAAGGGATTCCTGAGAGGCAGAGGAAACCAGCAGCGAGATACTAAGATACTGGCTGGGAGAAGATAATGAGAACAAAAGCCAGGCTCAGCAAGAGATGGGAGAGAAGGGAGACTGCAAAACAGCAGCCAGGGGACAGAGAGGGAATGCCAGCTTTTTCAATTAGGAAGGTAAAGTTTCCCAGAAACTACGAGGATTATGAGCGGAGACAGCTGAGGTGGAGGCAGGGGGAGGTGTTCAGTCTTGGGAAAGCTTCAGGTGGCGGGTCTAAGAAGCCAGGATACTGGAGGGACACAACTGTGAATGCTGGGGCAGCCCAGAGTGGGGACAGGGAATGGGGCTGCCAACAGCAGGGTGCCCCAGGGACCTCAGGATGGCCAGTCAACAGAGGCCATGAGGATGCCAGGGGGTGGCCAAGGTTTGGTGTGGCCAGAGCCCAAAGGTAGCAGGACAAAGGTCTGAGGATACCTGTGGATGACTTCTCTGAGCCTTCTTAATGCACCGGAGGTCCAGAATGGGCAGAGGAGGATGGGGGATTCCAGGAGTCTGAGGTCAGGAGGTCCAGATCCAGAGGTCTCCACGGAAGAGCACCAAGGAGTGTCAGCAAGGAGGA